AAGAACCTACAGCCAAAGATAATCTATCCAGCAAAGCTATCACTCAGAATCGAAGGCCAGATAAAGAGCTTCACTAATAAAAAAAAGCTAAAGGAGTTCATCACCACCAAACCAGAATTATATGAATTGCTGAAGGGGGTTCTTTCAGAAGAGAAAGTAAATAAATATAAAAATTATGAACAACAAATACTATCAACAAGTGAATCTAAAAACCAAGGAAATTTAAAAAAAAATCTGATGAACAGTATTAACTGTTGAATATAATAGAATCAGAGGTATGGAAGGGGAGTGAACTGATGATTCTTGGGGAAAAGGGAAGAGGGGGATGTGGGAAGAAACTGAACATAAACTGTGCACCTATGGATGAGGACAATGGGGGGTGGGGAAAGGGCAGAGGGTGGGTTGGGAACCTGGTGGAGGAGAGCAATGGGGGGGGGGGGAAGGGACATTTGTAATAATATGAACAATAAAAATTTATTAAAAAAATAATAAAATAAAATAAAAAAATAAAGGGCAAATAATGTTATTAAAATATTTGTTCTAATTAATTTCCTTTCAATGTGCATGAATCCGTAAACTGGGCCACTAGTATGGTAATAACTATGTGTGGTGCCAGGGGGTACTGAAAATATTGGGGAGAAAACATAAAGTACATGTCTGTTTAACCCCTAAGCTGTACCAGAAATGAATAAAAAACAATACTGAATGTAAACTATAATTGAAAACTAAAGTTTAAAAAGAGAAAGAGAGAGAGAGAAACAGAGAGAGAGAGAAGAAAGAAAGGGAGAGAGAGAATATATCCTCAGGGATCTGTAGGATAATTTCAAAGGCTCTAACATACAGATAAAAGGAGCCCTAAAAGGATAAGATAGAGAGTGTGGAGCTAAAAAGAACATTTGAAAAAATAATGCCTGAAAAACCTACCAAATATAGTAAGAGTCATAAACTTGCAGATTTAAGATGTTTAATAACTCCAAAGCTAGATAAATTCAAAGAAAACCATGATTAGGCACATCCCAGCCATACTACCGGGAGCCAAAGATAGAGAAACTTGACTTTAGAGCAAAACAACATGTTATATAAGGAGAAGAAGGATTAGAATGAATATGCACTTCTTATCTCTGGAGGCCACAGACAATGAGCAACAGCTTTACAATGCTTAAAGAAAGAGAAAGACTAGTCTGTGTTCTCTGTCTGGGGAAATATTCTTTAAGAATGAAGGTGAAATAAAGATATTTACAGAAAAAAGAAACTTAAAGAATTTATTGTCACTGGACCTGTTCTATAAGAAATGCTAAAGAAAATTCTCCAGTCTGAGGAGAAATGAAATAAGCAGGAAACTCAGATGTTCAGGAATGAAGAACATTGGAAATGATAAAAATATTAAAAAAAATAAATAAATCATTCTTCTCTTAATTTAAAAAAATATATATACATGACTGTATAAAGCACCACTGCTTCATATAAACCATGTTAAGTATTTTAAAAAGTTCTGGTAACAACATTAAAAATTTTTAAGATACTAATTTTAGACGAAACCGGTTTGGCTCAGTGGACTGTGGATTGAAAGGTCCCGGGTTAGATTCTGGACAAGGGCATGTACCTTGGTTGCGGGCACTTCCCCAATAGGGGGTGTGCAAGAGGCAGCTGATCGATGTTTCTCTCTCATCATGTTTCTAACTCTCTATCCCTCTCTCTTCCTCTCTGTAAAAAATCAATAAAATATATTAAAAAAAGATACTAATTTTAAAATATGCAAAATATATACCAACTATAATTTCTATATGTAATCAACATAAAAATTATTAGTTGTTTTATTTTTTCACACTAAGTCTTCTAAAGCGAGCATGCATTTTACACAGACAGCGTGTTTCAATGAAGAATAAGCACATCTAGAGTGGTCAAAAGCCACTGTATTGAACAGTGTTGATTTAAAACAAAGGTTTTAACACTTTCTTCAGGGGCTTATAACATATGTAGATGTAATATAGATGCCAATTATAACAAAGGATGGGGAGGATGGTGGCCAGGGTTCCACATTTTTACATGAAGCAGAATATTAATTTTAAGTACACTGTGAAAAAATAAGAATATATACATACTGTAATTCTTAGGAGAACCATTAAAACTTTTAATGCAAAGAGATATAGTTAAAAAGACAAAAGATAAATAAGGATGGAGTGCTAAAAATGTTTTAAAAATCCAGAAGACAACAGGAATGGAGAAACAGAAAAACAGAAAACAAGTGATAATATGGCAGATCTAAACCCAACCAAAAACATTTAGCTGAAATGGACTGGATGCTCAAATGTCCAGAGATGACGAGAATTAATTTAAAAAAAATGCCAGACACAATTGAATGCTGCTTACAAGAAAAATACTTTAAATAATAAAAACAGAATTAGCTTGTCAGGGAGAAAGATATACCATAGGGACACTGAGCATAAGAAAGCTGGAGTGGCTCTGTTGAACCGGATAAAATAAACTTGAAGACAAAGGTATCATCAAAGTTAACGAGGGTCACAAGAAGGCACAAAGGTCAGTTCATCAGGATGACTTGATTGTCACAAGCATGTGTGCAACTAATAACACGGCCTCCTGTTCAGGAGACACGGAGAGCAGTGAGGGAGGACAGGCAGCGCCACATTCGGTGCTCATAGCCTCTTGGCAGCAGTTGTCAGAACCAGACGGCGACAAACAGACGAGGGAACACAGAGGATGTGAGTCACACCACCTACGGCCTGCTCTTTCTGACACCATCTACTACTGATGTTCCTAAAATACCAGGCGACCGCAGAATACCTATCTTCAAGAATTTGTGGCATGTTGACCAAGAAAGACCATATTTTGGGTCGTAAAGTCAAGATCAAAACAAGCACAAAATCCACTATAAACTGCTACATTTCATAGCCTTTCCTAAACAAACAAACAAACAAAAAATTTTTGGGAAAATGAAAGCAACTCTTCTTTCCCCATAGCGGGTGACAGGCGAAGCTCACTTCAATTACAGGTGCTCAGTGATGCCCAGACAATGCTGAACAAATGAGTAAACTTGATCACCTTGTTCAGGTTGTATGAACAGCCGCAGGGAACCCCGAATCCTATATACAATAGTAAAAGGCTAATATGCAAATCGACCGAACAGCAAAATGACCGGTTGCTATTACGCACACTGACCATCAGGGGGCAGATGCCCAATGCAGGAGCTGCCCCTGGTAGTCCATGTGCTCCCACAGGGGGAGCGCCGCTCAGCCAGAAGCTGGGCTCAAGGCTGGTGAGCACAATGGTGGTAGCAGGAGCCACTCCGCCTCTACTGCAGTGCTAGGGATGTCTTATTGCCAGTTTAGGCCCAGCTGCCATCAGTCAAACATCCCACAAGGGTTCTCAGACTGTGAGAGAGGCTGGGCTGAGGGACCCCCGAGTGTAAGAATTTCATACACCGGGCCTCTAGCTAGCGATAATTGAGAATAAAAGTATTCAAGTATTCGATACAGTTTTTGAAAAAGTGGTATTTGTTTAAATATACATTTACAAATTTAATTCTGATTGTTCAAATACTTCATTCTATTCTTATTCTCAGGTTGCTTCTTTTTTTGAAACCATTTTTCTAGTATTTCTGTTAATCTGATTTTAAGTCTGGAAATCTGACATCCCTGAGGAAAAGAGGAAACTTAGACACAACTTCCATAGCAACTCTAAATCCTTCACGCTGTATTTGTGCATGGGAATTTGATTTAAATACATCAATACACGTGAATTTGCAATGTGTCTAAGTTGTGATTGCCATAGGAACCGCACCCTCCAATTTTCTTTTAAGTGTAGTTAAGTGCTTAGCATAAAAACCGGTCCCCCAACGGCCACCGCAAGTTGCAGATATGGCTCACAGCGGTGATTTACAAACATCACGGCTCAGGACGGCATATGCTTTGGGCAGGTATCTATCACGATGAAAACGTGTATTTTAATACATGCTCCTTGTTAACAGACCAAAAGCAATTCCAGGCGCAATTCCTCCTCACGCAGAGCGAGTAAAACCTGCCAGGCAGTCGTCCACTCCTGCTTGACGGCCTCTGCTCACGCCAACGCCTGTACAGCCCAGGCCAGCAGCCCAGGTGAGCCACCCAGCCACACGCACACACCTGTACAGCCCAGGTCAGTCACCCAGCCACACGCACACACCTGTACAGCCCAGGTGAGCCACCCAGCCACACACACACACCTGTACAGCCCAGGTCAGTCACTCAGCCACACGCACACACCTGTACAGCCCAGGTCAGTCACCCAGCCACATGCACACACCTGTACAGCCCAGGTGAGCCACCCAGCCATACGCACAACCTGTACAGCCCAGGTCAGTCACCCAGCCACATGCACACACCTGTACAGCCCAGGTGAGCCACCCAGCCATACGCACAACCTGTACAGCCCAGGTCAGTCACCAAGCCACACGCACACACCTGTACAGCCCAGGTCAGTCACCCAGCCACACGCACACACCTGTACAGCCCAGGTCAGTCGTCCAGGTGAGCCACCCAGCCACACGCACACACCTGTACAGCCCAGGTCAATCACCCGGCCACCACCGGGCTCCATGGCTTCACTGAACCCACAGAACATCCTGCATCTGTACTGAGACGGCAGAAAAATCCAGCACGTGCTCACAACACAGAGTGCACCATGTGGGTGGAGCGCCACCATGTAAGACACAGGAGACAACCTCTATCAGCCGTCCGTACGACGGAAGAGACGTTTTCTTGCCACTGCAGACAGTCCCTTCTGAATTATCAGCACTCGGATCACCGGTCACGTCCCGTGCTAATCCAGTCCCTCTGCCCCAAGATGCCCGGGAGCCTCCGCTTACCACTCCTAACGTCTCAGAGTCAGGACGTGCGAGTTAACTTTAATCTAAGGAAATATCTGGGGGGAGAGAAACCCACTGTGAAACGAGTCAAGTATTCCCAGGCCCAGGTGGACGGAGCGGTAAGACGGCCGCGGCTCACCTGCGGTGGGGGAGTTGGCGTGGTGCGACTTCTTGGGCAGGTTGAAGATCTGCTCGCCGGGGTCGGGGGGCGGGATGGCGTCCTGCCCTTGCCGCGCCTCGACGGGGTCGTACTCCTTGCCGTCGTAGTTGGCGTCGTAGAACTTCTTGAACCACTGGATGAAGTCCAGGTTGTCCTGGAAGCGCCCCTTCACGAGCTTCTCCACCGGGATCACCTGCAACAGGAGGCCACGCTGAGTCCCAGCCCGGGCGCGGGCGGTGGGTCAGCGCAGCGGCCCCTCCGCCAACCGTTCCCGGTGTCTGCCACCCACACCACGGGCTCTCCCCCGGCTTCTCAGTATGTGAGTGGAGGAAAGGCACAGACTGCATGGACTTCAGCAACGGTCCTTCTATGGGCGGGGATGGGGGAGTGAGGGTGGGGATCCAGTCTACCTCCATTTGCATCTCTCTGGGACAAAATTTAAAAATCCAAAGGAGAGAAAAGGAGAATTTATGGGCGGAGTTGGAGAATCTGCATGTGTATACCATGCTGGACATTTCCACACGTTTCCTCACTGGAACGTCATATACCAGGTGAACTGGTTAATAATGCGGATTTTGTAATTAAAGAAAACATCTTAATTTCAAGAGAAACATCAAAAGTGCTTTATTCAAAGTAATGTCCATCGCTAGCTACACATTTTCCCCATCTTTAGGGTAATTTGTGGATATCGTCCCAATAGAACTTTTCTTGTTTTGAGGCAAACCATTCAGAGACTCAATTTTCCACTTCTTATGTCTTGAAGTGCTGCTCAGAAAGTGCCATCGATCTGAACAAGTGGTAATCTGAACAGGTGGGTTAATACTTCCCAGGCAAGATCTTTTTTTCTTTTTTTTAAATATATTTTGATTTTTTTACAGAGAGGAGGAGAGAGGGATAGAGAGCTAGAAACGTCGATGAGAGAGAAACATTGACCAGCTGCCTCTTGCACACCCCCTACTGGGGATGTGCCCGCAACCCAGGTACATGCCCTTGACCGGAATCAAACCCGGGACCTTTCAGTCTGCAGACCGACGCTCTACCACTGAGCCAAACTGGTTTCGGCCCAGGCAAGATCTTTTAACGTGTCTTTAACTGGCTTTAAAGTGTGTGATGGTGCATTATCATGAAGCAAAATTACTTTGCTGTGTCTTCTGGAACATTCTGGTCATTTCACGATCAAAGCATGGTTCAAATTGATTATTTATTGTTGGTAGCAACCAGTATTAATGGTTTCACCTGGTTTTAGAAGCTCATTATATACCACACCTTCCTGATCCCACCACAGAGCATTGTCTTCTTTCCGAAGCCACTTGGCCTTGCAGTTGATGTTGATGGTTGACCTGAATCAACCCATGATTTTGTGCATTTGGGATTCTCAAAATAAATCCACTTTTCATCGCCAGTCACAACTTGATGCAAAAAAAGACTTTCTTTCGTGCTGTTGAGCAACATTTTACTGATGACTTTTCCGTTTTCCATTTGTCTTTTGTTCAGTTGACGTGGCACCCATTTTCCTTCCTTTAAAATCTTTTCCATTTCTTGTAAACGATCGGAAATTGTTTGCTGAGCAACGTTGAATCTTTCTGCAAGATGTTTTGAGTTTGACACGCATCTTCATCCAATAATGCTTGTAATTGTTGGTCTTCAAACTTTTTCTGTTGACCCGGACGTCTCTGTCTTTCACATGGAAATCATCACTTTGAAAGCGTTTAAGCCAGCGTTCACAAGTATCCTGAGATGGAGCATGTTCACCGTAAGCTTCCCAAAGTATTCAGCAGCACTTTTCTTCAAAGTAATGAATTAAAACTTCCTGCAAATGCTCTTTTTTTGGGCACGAAATTTGACATTTTTAAGTGTAAAAATATCTATGATGTTAACATCTTCAGAAAATTCGACATATCAAGTTTTGAAGCTTGCTGTCATACAATAAAATAGCATACGTATCAAATCGCACGTATATCAACGTGTAACTACAGGTATTATAAAAAAATCCGCATTGTTAACCGGTACACTAGTAACCACAGGGAACGGGGTTTCAGTCCTATTTTGTAGATGGGTAAACTGAGACTCAGAGACTTGAAGTATCCTTTGCTCAGCCCACGCTGCTCCCACGGTAACCACTGGTTCTCCAAAGGAACAGAATACACGAAGAACTGCGGTGGCACCTGGCAAACATAAGCACCTGTTATTTGCAGCGCTAACGCAGTGTCTACGAGGGTTTTCGGTCTAATGGCTACATTAAATAAAAACCTACAAATACGGGAAGCTAGGGTGGATGCCCTATGCGCTGCACAGACCCCAACCTCCTGCTAAGAGAGTCAGATCTGTCCCATTGACATCCACTGTCCATTTCCCACCAAGTCCACGTTAAGGAAAGAAGGTGCACTGGACGGAGGCAGCCCGGAGTCTCCTACCTTATCCACATTCATCCGCTTGAAGGACGCCTGCAGGAGCTTGAAGTTGTGAATGTACTCGTGCTCCAGCTTCGCCTGGAACTTCACCTTCTTCAGACTGATGCAGCCGGGGAAGAGCATGTCCATGAACTGGCAGTAGGCCGCTCCTGGGGAGACGAGAAAGGCGCGGGCGTGAGTCTTGCCACCCGTCCCGGAGCCGCTGGGGGCGCTGGGCGGGAGGGGAGGGGCTGTCCTCTCCCGCAGCCTCCCGGCCCTGTGGGCCCCTCCTGCCACCCAGACCCTCCTGGCCCCCGGCCTGGGTGTGGGCGGGAAGGGACGGTGCCCGGTGCCTACAGCGTCGCCAGGGGGCGTGGACAGTGAGCACACCCTCAGACCCTCCTGTCCAGAAACGGGGTCAGACAGCTCTGCTTAGCTGTGGTTTCTTTCATCCAGGGCCACGTCATCACAACACATCAACGTAAGCTAAACAGCAGCCACTTTCACAGGCGGCAACGCCTGCAGTGCTGGTGGAATGGTGGCTCAGGAGACACACAGGCCAAGCAGCTCATGCTGTTTCACAACAGGGGGCAGGTGAGATGCTAACTAGCCCCCCCCCACACCCCGCCCCACAAACGGGAGCAGGGGCAGACCCGCCCCGTCCGGTCCCGGCCACGGAGGTCCCCCGGGCCACGGAGGAGGGCGACTCTGCAGCCCGCCGAGGCCCCGCGTCACGCTGCTCTGACCGGGAGTGAAAGCCACAGAAACGCGCAGAGCCCCAGGCGATGGTCATAGAGAAAAGGTTTACCTGGAAGTCTCTCGTTTTCTAAAATGAACTTCAGATCATGACAATGTCAATTAGAAAATCCCTGCCAGGCTATGTTGACTGATTCAGATATTCTTTTTTTAAAAATATATTTTATTGATTTTTTTTACAGAGAGGAAGAGAGAGGGATAGAGAGTTAGAAACATCGATGAAAGAGAAACATCGATCAGCTGCCTCTTGCACACCCCCTCCTGGGGATGTGCCCGCAACCAAGGTACATGCCCTTGACCGGAATCAAACCTGAGACCTTTCAGTCCGCAGGCAGACGCTCTCAGATATTCTTTATGGTCAAGTGTGAGGGCGTCGAGGATGGGCCTTTCCGGAACACGAAGGCTCCTTTCACCTGTGTGTCAGGGTTCTGAGTGAAGCCTTCCGTCCTCAGGCGACTCGCCTTTACCTGAGGAACCCATGGGTGTCCCGTGTCAGAGGGATGCTGAGCATCCTTTACTGGGACAGGGATCCATGGGGAGAGGGAAGAGCAACACCAGGGCTTAGGCTAAGGGCTGCCAGACAGGAAATGGCGGGCCAACTCCCTCACGGGGAAGAGCATGCAGTGATGAGCAACAGGCAGTCCTTACATCCGGAATGCCTCCTCTTAGATACCGGCACCCTACACTGACAGATCCATCTCTAGTCAAGCAGATGGGTTCTCTCTAAAACAAGACGAGACAGTACAAGCCAAACAAAAACACCAGGGAAGGTACGAGAAACACCCTGACCGTGGGCGTGCTCACCATTCAGCCATTCAGTTCTCTCTCCTGAAGTGCCACCAGGGGGGGTGAATTCCAAAAGCCACCTTCACATTATTTTTAAAAAAATGGAGGTGTCTAAATACACAGTCTCATTGCTTACTCTTTCAACATTTTTCACTTTTGTAGAGTTTAGCACAAATTTTACCTATGCAGGGCCAGATTCTTTGTAAGAATCCACCAAATCACTTACTAGAAAATGTAAAAATAGCTCTTGAGAAAAACAACAATAAACTTAGAAGAGGGAGCCAGAGAAAACCACTGTTTATGCTCTGGTATGTACTATTTTTTTTAAAAAAATGTAACAGACCATGATTCCCTTCCTGAGTCATATAATGTTCTTTACTAACCTTTTTAATGGCTTTCTAATTTTTACAACATGCTTAGCAATTTTCCCAAACCAAGATTACATAAATATTCACATGCCTTTTCTTCAAATACTTAAATATATATATATATATATATATATATATATATATATATATATATATATATATATGTTGATTTTCCACAGAGAGGAAGGGAGAAGGATAGAGAGCTAGAAACATCGATCAGCTGCCTCTTGCACATCCCCTACCGGGGCTGTGCCCGCAACCAAGGTACATGCCCTTGACCAGAACTGAACCTGGGACTTTTCAGTTCGCCGCAGACCGACACTCTATCCACTGAGCCAAACCAGCTTCGGCTTTTCAAATACGTTTATGGTCTCAGGCTTTACGCTGACATTCTGAACCACGTGGAGTTTATTTTGGTCTCTGACAGATACAGGGCGCTTCTAGCCATGCTGACCCACGTGTGAGCGGAAATCGGGCTCTCCAGCATCTGGGCACCTTCCCACCTGAGTTGATGCTCCAGGGCCCCACCTCCTCCTCTAGGAGCACGAGTGGGCAGACACCGCCCCCCTCCATCCCCCCCCCCCCCCCCCCCCCCCCCGCGGTAAACACGCAGGCCCAGCACCGGGCTCTGCACTGGGCGCTCGCTGGGTCTCAGGCCGGAGGGGGCGGCAGGAACACACAGGCACCTGAGAACGCAGTCCGGGTGGCAGCGGCGGGTCCAGAGAAGTGGAATAGCCTCACCACGTGTCCAGGGCCCCAGTGGGCCGTTCCCGGCTCCTGAGCATCGTTTGGTCGCTGCCATTTTCTGAGTTTGGTTTCCCACGGATGCCGCTGCCCAATATCCTTCCTTTAGATCAGGGGTGGGGGACCTTTCTTCCTACAGGGCCGTGTAGATACCGATAATGTGAGCCCAGGGCCACACAAACTTCTCCACTCAAACATCAGCCTGGATGTTAGGCCAGGCATTCAGTGAGCTCACCCCGAAGGCCCTGGCAGGGCCGGACCCATGACGCCACAGGCAGCGGCGGCCGCACGCTCCCCACCCTGTATGAGGCGTGTTCTGCTCAGGCTCGCCAGGACTGTTTTCTTCTAGTTGCAACCCAAAAGTCAACTGATAAGGGTAGCTAAGTGCTGAACACCATTATTTCACAGATGACCTATACTTTCCCCACTGAGGGAAAACAGCATCTTTGCTAAATATAATATTACTTTCCAAATACATGCATTTAGGTCTCTTTCTAGATTTAAAACGCACTACTATCTGTAGAATAATTTCCCCTTTCCTCCTAAAAATTTTCTTTAATTTTATCCTGCAGTTATCCTTTCCATATTTTTTAAATTTGTTATTCATGGCATATAGAAAATCAAAATTTTTTTTAAAAAAATTTATCATTACTACTTAATAACAGAACTTTACTAAGATATATATATATAATGCACACACCATAAAGTTCAACCTTTTAAAGTACATTTCATGGTTTTTAATGTAGTCTCAGAATTGTGCATCCATCCGAAGATTTTAATTACCCCCAAAAGAAATGCCATACCTATTAACAGCAACTCTCTCTCCTCTCCTCCCCCAAAGCTCTTGTAACCACTAATCCATTTTCTGTCTCTATGAATTCGCCTAATTTTGATATTTAATATAAATGAAATAATGAAATAGGTGGCCTGTGTGTGGTTTCTCTCACTTAGCAAAAATCTTTCAAGGTGCATCCATGTGGTGGCCTACCTGAAGCTCATACTCCTTTTTACGGTTGAGTAATACTCTACTGTTATTATTGAATATTACGACTATACACGTTTTGCTGTCCATTCGTGCTGCTATGAAGACTTGTGGACAAAATTTTGCATGGACATAAGTTTTTAGTTCTCTTGGGACACACCTGGGAGTGGAATATGCTAGCTCTATATTTAGCATTCTGAAGAGCTGCCAATGTTATGATTTTACGTATTAATATATACTTTTAATAACTTCTTTATACATGTACAGTATATAATGCATATATATATTATACATATAATAAACATTTTACCTCTCTCCTGCCCTCCCTCTCCTCCTATACATATTTACACACACACACACATAGAAATATAACGACTATCAAAATCTCAGAGCGCTTTCCTTGAAATACGATGCAATCTTTGAAGAAGGCATCAAGCTATATCAGTTCCTGCCACAGCTCCTCACATCGCCCACCTGAAGTTTTCACAGGCCAAGAAGCTATTCTACAGAAATGCCTCTATCACTGAGGGACTTGGTCCCAACTCTGCCGTCTTACGTGGTGCTGATGAAGAAGGGTCAGAAGAAACCAGCGCCCACCTTCCTGTGCGGACACATCTGCACGGTGAGATCTAGCCGCTTTGCAATAGCCAGTCTCTCAGTTTACCACCGGCGCGGACAGGGAGGGGGCGGGGAGGGACCGGGCGCGGCTGCTGCTCCTCGGAGCTAAGCCTTCCTCATCTCGAATGAACCGTGACCTGTCATCACACTCTTCTAGGCCAGCAGTCAGTCTTCCCATCTGCAAAACGTCAGGCTGCACAGACCTCCCAGCTCTAAAATTAGCCCACTCTCTAATTCTCAACGTCCCTTGGAAGGGATACCGGGCATTTCTGCTAATTTGGAGATAATGCTTCATCCTCATATGACTAAGACTTCTTTCTGCCAGTGCTCCTGCCCCCGGCCACGGCCGTCTCTGTCACAGTCGCCGTGAGAGACACGAGTGCGCGTCTGCACACGCTCCCAGGGGCGCCGCCCACGGACGCCCTCCCGGACTGCAGGTCAGGGGATGCCATCTCCCACGCATGCCCTTTGAGCTCTGGGCGTGTATCTACTCGGCAACACAACCACCTTTTCTTCCTCTCCAGTAGGTGAATATTAAATCACTTTCACTTTAGAATAACCTTTCACGGTAGAATTTAGCTGAATAGTAAACAGCTTTCGTATTCATCACAAAATCATGCCAGCTCTTTCCGCTCTCAGCCCTGTCTTTCCTTGAACGGATCTTCCTGCAGAAAAGCATCTGTCACGTCGCCAAGGCCCACACCTCTCGCCGTGGCCGTACCCCCTCTGGGGAGCCAGGGCTTCCTTCCGAGGAGGGTGAGACTGCAAAACGGAGGGGCCTCTTCCCCACCGGCCGCCGCTCTGCCTGCTCTGCACAGGCCTGGAGAGCTGACGGCCGCTGTGAAATGATGCTCTGAAACGTGAATGCTTTAAAGGAACAGAAAATCCCCAAGTTCAACTGCATTTTTCTAATCCA